TGAGGAATTCTTACTGAGACGAGTGGGTTTCCCTCAGACAAAACAACTCCCCCCACACTGGTTTCCGATAGCAGCCTGTCAGGTGCTGGGGGAGAAGCATTGCAATACTACCACTAGTCATGGAAATGAGTATATGTAATGTACAACATTATCACTGCTACAAAAATTAAGAACAGTATTAGAGAACTGTTAGAGAAATCAATAGTTTTCAAATTCTCCTTTCAGGGAACATTTCCGCTTCCCTTTATCTGACCTGAGGCTGTTTGCTAGAAATGCAGCTAGCAGCTCATACAACAAAAGACTTGACTGCACAATGTTTGATTAGCAGCTCTCAGGCCTGTTCAGGACCCCACAATTTTTTTTAATAGCACACGTCAGTTTACGATACTACAAAACATACAATCTCATTTTTAATAGCTTCAAAATTTCCGGAAACATTTACATCTCTAGCTATAGCAGCATGTTGACTTGCTCTTCCAAAACTAGATAGGCAGCAGTTGATCCCTAACACGGAAAAAAGTCCACCTGGGGCCAATAAAATGGCACAATACCCAAATTCTCCACGCAGGATCACACCAACAGTTTTCTTTCTAACTTAGCAACCTTTCGACCATTAGGATTATACACAGCTGAAAGGGCAGGCATCAGTGTAGTACAGCAGTAAACAGCTTGCACACATTGGGGTCTCGAAACCCTGCAGTCTGATTTGCGCTGGCTCATTAATTAGTCTGTGATTCTGTGCTCAGTTAACATATGAGCAGAACTCTGCAGCACACTCCATTCTCAAAAAACACAGACTGAGAATGTCACAACTGCAAGCCTCTAAAAAGGGTCAAGGAGGTTGTTACTCTTGATTCCCTTTTATTCTTTACCAACCATCGAGAACAAGACAGAGTGTATAAGAAGACAGTTAAGAGTGTTGTAATCGTCCAACTATTCCCCATGGACACATTTTTATTTTAAATATTTTGCTGTTTATGTCCATCATCTATGACGCAGTTGTTCCAAAAATATTTCAAGCAAACATGAAAGTATTTGAAAATGTCTGTGTGGTGGTGCTGAGAGTTTTACTGATAGTCAGTTATGCCTTCTGTACAGATAAGCATTTAACAGTATATGCCTCTGTTTTCTGAAGAGGTTTTCTTTTTCTAAACAAGCTAGAATCCATTTAGACTTAATTACATTTAAAAGGATTTACAGCTAATCTACATACAACAGACACTATGCAAGTACCAGGCCAGCCTCAGAAGACAGCCTCACACGGGGCCACAGCCAGTGGTGGGGCACACAGGGTGGCAACCCCCTTTAGCAGCTGCAGCACCTTCACCAGAATGCCCGAGCTGGAGCCCAACCTCCAGCCAGCCTGGGCACTACCTGGCCTTGCAGCTCACCTCCCTTCTCCTCCGGTGCCTCCCTCCGAGCAGAAGAGGCAGGAGGACAATGACAATGACAGATAGTCATGGGAGACTGAGGGCCAGGCGCATCTGAGTGGCCCTCCCTGGTGTGCTGAACTGAGGAGAGGGCTTGGACCACCCACTCACATCCCCTGAACAGTGCTGCCCAGGGAGCAGGAGAAAGATCCGTGCTACCCAAGTCTGAAGATTTACAAACAGGTCCTGCCACCGTGGGACCCTGGCCCTGTGCGCCCTTTTCCCGGATTCCTGCCCCCATTCATCCAGGTGCCAGGCAGCGCTGGTGCCATCTCGCCCCTTTCTGACCCGTCTGTGGTCTTCACTTTGGCCCCTGTTGTCATTCGGTGCTTCGCCTTTTGGAGGGGGAGGATTCAGTGCACTTTTCTGAAGACTAAGGGTTTTGCTTTGCTCTTCCTGCGGAAGGAGGAAACAATACCTGACCCGCCAAGAAGCAGAAAGAGCTGGCAATTGGGGTGGGTTTGGGGATTGGGGTGGGAGCACCACAGATTAGCTCATTTAATTTAATTTAATTAGTACTGCCCCAGCCCCCCCTCCCCCCAAAAATCCCTGGCTACAATGCTGGCCTCATAGCTTTCCCCTCTAACTGCTGATATTCTTCAGGAGAACTCAGTACTAAATAGCACCCAGTTCCTTAAAGGCTACCTGGCCCATTTCCCATGTTTGCTCCTATATTTCTGCTGCTACTGCAGCAACCATTTGAATGGGATGTGAAAGGTCACTTAACCAATCACATGCATACAGAAACATGGGGTCAACAGCAGTCCTTGGTCTCATAATCTAAAGAAAATACTGCCCAGCCCATGCAGTTAGACTGGAACGTTTCTTCAAGCCTGTGTGGAGAAGTGGTTACAGCACTGAACAGGTTTGACTCCCCACTCTGCCATGGAAGCTTGCTGGGTGACCTTGGGCCAATCGCACATTCTCAGCCTAACCTACTTCACAGGGTTGTTGTAAGGATAAAATGGAGGTGAAAAGAATGATGTATGCTGCTTTCAGTCCCAACTGAGGAGAGAGGTTGGGTATAAATGAAATAAATTTAAAAGTCAAATTCTGCTATTTGAAAGAAATATTAACAAAAACAAGAATATGGAGGACTGCTCCCACAATATAGTTAGAATGTGAAAGATGTTACGAAGTATAAATATGTTTCACAGAAAATGTGAGATGAATGGAAAACAAAATTAAGAGTGGAAATCCGTAACAAGAACCTTGAGAGAGCCTCATCAGATCCACAGCTAGGGGCAAAAACTATTTAAAAAAAGAATCACAGCATGGTACATTAATAGAAAGTCAAGGAAAAATACACATCTAGTGCTTCACAGATTGGGAACAGCTAGGAAGAGGAGTTTTCTGATCTCATGGCAATTGTTTATGCCTCTCAATAGAGATATGCCTGACCCAAAAGAGGACTGTACTTCCATTAATGTGAAATAGTTAGACATTTCAGGGAGTAATTCCATCACACTGATAATGTTCCAGCTAACCATCATCATCCCAATGAAGCATAGAACCAATTTGATTGTTGTCATTACCTATTCTAGCATTAAAATCACCCACCAATAGAAAGAAAGCTTCAGGATATTTAATAGAGTGGTTAGTAAGGTAGCCATTCAACCGCATCCAATGGGCTCTAAGAATATTTTTATCTTGGTAAGGGGGCATATAGATATTAACAGCAATCAATTGGAAATCTTTAAACAGAATGAGAAAAGCTTGGGCCAAGGGGGGACACGCCTCCAATTGAGTGACAGAACAAGTTTCATTATATCTTTGTGGCTAAGATGTGTCACTTCCCACTTTACAAAAACACAAAAACTACATCGCTCCTTGACACCTACCACACCCCCTTAGTACTCTGGTCAACTCACATGTTGATTACTGCAACCTCCTTCTCTGAAGGATTAAAGTCAGTCCCCTCACCTGTAACTTGCACCCAGGGCCAAAATCATTCCCCTCTTTTGTTCTCCAGACCCTTTCTTAAATGCTTACCTGCCAGTTTCCTGTACCCTCTTACATTTCCACACAAACTCCTTGTCTGAAGTCCTCCATGAACTTGCTACTGTACTCTCATAACCCTACATGTCCTTCATCCCAACCAGACTTCATCCCATCAGACAAAAGTAGGAATAGAGATCTGATCGGGGTTATCCCAGTCAGAAGGAGTGTTGCAAAGAATGCTTGTAAAGGATACAAAGGTAAAATGCATATTGTAATTAGCTTGACTAGAGTACAGGGGAAATGCTTGGGGGCAAAAAATTAGCATATGTAGTGAGATAAGAATTCTATGTACCTATTCAAGCCCTGGGAGGTCTGTGAATGAACTCAAATTCAGTAATCTTGCACTTCAAGGAAAGTTTTATTTGTCTGAGGACTGCCAAGAATGGCTTGGATACAATTCACTGAATCAGCAAGTCAAACAGCTACAGGATGTTCTGGAACCATGTGTTAGGAAGCCATAGACCACAAGGTGTTTTAAAAATACAATACCTGTTCTGTAACATAAGGAAACAGAACTCTCATGACTTCTGATCTTATACTACTGCAGAAACTAAAATATGGCATGAAGTACAGCAGGTGCAGGGATGAATGCAAGGCTCAAACATTTTATTTGTCTACAAGACAAATTCTTAGGCAGTCACAAATTCATCGTCATTAAGCTGCTTCTCCTTCTCTTCTGTTCCAAACTCTGGCCTTTATTTTATCTTTATGTCAACTGTACCTATCTACCTACCTACTTCAGTCACATACTATTCCCAAAGCATCCACGTTTTCCCTCGCAAAGCACCTTCTCTATTCACACACAATTTGGCAATGTGATATGAGGCTCTCCTTACTATGTGCTTTTAAAATAGGAAATACTTAGTTTAGTGGGTTTTGTGATATAGATGTGATCTACAGGCACTATCACAGAGTTACACACACAAGTGTACTCTTGTAACATGATGCTAATCTCACAGAAGATCAAAGCGAACTTCACAGTCTGGGTAGGAAACCATAAATCTTTTTAGGTTTAATAACAACATTCAGAAGATGTTTAATATTTAAACAAAGCATTTAAAGTTTTGAGAAAATTAGCCTAGCATTAAATAACAGCAAGTTGTTTTTGGTTCTCATACACAGCGTTCCTGCTGGCACTCAACAGCTGGTGTTCTCAGCATTAGAACTGCTGATGCCAGGAAGTATAATTAAAGAGACTTTTTAATACCAACTTTCATATTCAAAAAAGTTTACAAGTGAAGTTTTATTTTTAAAAATACCTAGCAAAGCACTGACCTGGATAGCTCAGGTAAACCCAATCTCTTCAGATCTTGGAAGCTAAGCAGAGTAGACCCTGGCAAATACTTGGATGGGAGACCTCTTTGGAATACCAGAGCTGGGAGGAAGGGGCAGGATTTATTCAGCCACCTCTTTGAATATCCTACATGCCTCCAGTAGGGGTCAGTCACCAGAGGTCACCATGACTTCCAGGTGCTCATGCACACTCAAATGCACACATGCATATTAAAAAAATACAAAAATACCAAAAGAATACCTAGCAAAAACTTTGCAACTGTTTAGATTTAATTCTAAAGAAATTAAAGCCTTTCCTTAAAACTCTCTGGTACCTGAAGCAGCAGCATTACATAATACTGTGAACACTTTATCATGTCTCCTTTTCTTCTCTCCATTTGTTTTACTTGTCAACTAGAAAACCTAGTTTCTACATTCCAAGGCATATCACAAGGAAAACCCTTCATATGCCAATATTAAAATGGTTAATTAAAAGAATTTCAATGACCGGAAATAAGGTATAACATTATCTACTACTTAAAGAGTGAAAATCAGGGTAGATTCTAGCTACTAAGTTCTAAGGAAAGTAAATGTTGTGTACTTTACAGAATTATTGGAACTGGGGAGAGAAAAAACAACAAAAACAATACACTTACCCACAATCAGGAGCAGGGCACCACCTACAATCAGGGTCTGCAACAAGCCAACGTCTAAGCATAAATTCTTCATATTTTTCCATCAAGATGTCATCATTTAATATTAATCGAATATCATGGGGATTAAATCGTTCAGAGCACTCTGGACAGCTGATATTAACTCTGCTTTCAGAGATTTCTATCCGGAGATACTGACGTAAACAATCCACACAAGACCTGTGATGACAAGTCATTATTTCTGGGAACCTCTCCTTTGAGTGTCGCAGAAGGCACAGGGGACACTCCATGAAATCTCCACTTTGTTTGCTGCTAACGGTCGTTCCATTGTCAGAAGATGCATATGTAGAGAACACAGAGTTTTTATCTGTACACATTTCCGAGTGTATACTTTCAATACTTGCAATCCCATCGACACCTCCATTTATATCCCTGGATTTGCGTTTTGTATCCCTTTTTCTTCGAAAGAGAGATCCCAGAGAAATTCTTCTCTTCTTTGGTGCCTTTTTAATTGAAGGCAAGCTGACGGAGGAGGCAGAAGATTGGAGGTCTCTATCGGATCCCATTTGCCGATGTAAACTCATGGCTAAAATATTCATCAGAAAGGAATCAAATACACACAACTCTAACCATTTTAAGGATGAAGTAAGTATTAAGTAGCAGCACACTTAAGTCATGTTGTGCATGGCCCGTCTTGTTCATGCAGAAAATTCTTCCCAACATGTAACTCCAGGAAATTCTTCAGGGACTCTAAATTAGGAAAAGGAGGGAAATAAACCAGATATTAGCATGACACAGGACATGAATTGCTTGTAATTTCCAAAGGACTTGTATTCTTAAATTTACATTACTGCTTCCTCATCAGCTCACCCCATGAGGCCGCCCTGAGCCTGCCTTGGTGGGGAGGGGGGGTATAAATCAAATAAAAAAAATAAATCTTCTTTGCCTCAAACTACTTTTGCATAGCTTCTTTGTCTTCTTTGCCTCAAACTACTTTTGCATAGCTTTCAATCAGCCCTGACCTGGATGGCCCAGGCTAGCTAATCTTGTCATATCTCAAAAGCTGAGCAGGGTCACCCCGGTGAGTGCTTGGATGGGGGAACCACCCAGGAAGTTCAGGGTTGCTACCCAGAAGCCGGCAATGATAAACTGCCTCAGATCATCTCTTGCCTTGAAATCTCTACTGGGTCGCTATAGGTTGGCTGTGATTTGATGGCACTTTCTTCAACCACTACCACCACAATTAGCAAGCTAATATCATTGGAGGACAAGAATGTCTTTTACTGCATTTCATATGGTTTATATAATGGAATAAATATCCCCATCAAAATATAGAAACTGGGGGGGGGAGGGGCAAGTGAAAGTTTACTGCATTTCATATGGTTTATATAATGAAATAAATATGCTCATCAAAATGCACATGCTGCATATGGGGGGGAGGGGCAAGTGAAATAACAATGTCTAAATTCTTTGAAACGTCCCACAAAAGTTGGCAGAATACTCAACAATATATTTCCAAAACCCATCATTCAATATGGATGAGACTCTATTTTTGAAGCTGGTACTTCTAAAGAATAGAAAGAAACGTAAATAGTCTGTGCAGGATTCATACTGAAAGTCAGGCACAACCTGACTGTAACATCTTCCACCAAAGTTCAACGAGTGAATCATTACATGCAATTCCAATAAAATTCAAATGGTGCATTGTAGGGGTGAAAGTACAAACTATAAATCAAGAATCCCCCAGTTCAAACCTTTCAAAACTCTAGATGGTCTTTAGCAAGTTACTGTCTTTCAGCCTCAGCATTCCCTTGTGCAACAGGAAGTTTACAGCAACCTACCTTATAGGGCTAATGCTAAATATATGCTAATGCTAAAAATAATGTATGTTAAGTGTTCCAGAAATAAATGCCAATTGTTATTAAATTAATGACAGGCTTTTTCCCTCAAGGTACCAGAAGAGAGAAGAAGAGACAAAGCACAGATCCCTAGTAACTATCCATGCCCCAGCAGCAGAAATCCTAGGTAAGGAAACTTTCACTTGAGAGGTGAGGTATAAATCTTTTAAATAAACAGACCTTAAAAGAAAAAGAAAAATCATCTATCTCCCATCAACACAAAGATGCCCATAAGTGAAAAGGAATTAATAGCTAAAAATGTATGCAACCCCACCCCATTGCTCACACAAGCATTTTTAACAAAGCTGAGACTTTAAAAATTAACTGTGTAACAAAAATGGCGTTTGCAGAGGGAATTGAGGAGGAAGAGTTGGATGATAACTTGCTTGTGGGAGAATTAACCATTGAGCAGTTTTTGAAACTACTTAGAGATGGAATACAGAAAGGAATACAAAAAGGGTTTGAAGAGGCTTGTGCGAATATAACTGAAAAACGGCAGAGTATACAACCGGATATTGAAATTAAGGAAGAACTGGTACAGCCCAAACAAAGTGTTGGTGAGGAACAAGTTTGCTATTCTAAGGAGTCATGTGATGATACTCAGCCCCTCTCCATTATAGGATTGGAAAAGGAGACAATGAGATCGTCCTATATAAAGACAGACCTAACAAATCTGAATATGCAGAGAACTTCTTGTAAAGAAGGGAGAAATGGG